GTCATAGTTGACGGTAATCGTTTTTATCTTATGTCACTTGCAATACGCACCCAAAGCTCATTTCTCTTAACGAGAACTACGTTCGTCATAAAAGTGTTAGATTAATTAAAATAAATGTAAGTATTCGAAATTTTAAGTTTTTTTATTAGTATGCTTCTACCTAGATCCACTGTGTTCATACACAGAGCGTTTCCAGGAATATTTTGCCACGTTTGTTTCGATTTTAAAAGTGTTCCCTCCTCGTTGTTTCCTGAGTGCCATGACATGTATATCTTCAAATGAGGCTCATGGAAAGCACTCGAGGATGAGAAACGGCTTGACTGTGCCTCGACCGTTACTGAAGTCCATGGGCGACGGTAACCATTCACCGTCAGGTACATCGTCGTAAGGAAGTGTATGAAATTTGGAACGGCGTGTCATGTGCCAGAACTGTTGACGCCATCGCCATGTTTCAGTTTCTAACTGATTATTTAACAGTTTAATCCCGCGTTTTAAATTGTCATTACACCATATTACTTGTGATTTTTCGAATACTTAATAGTTTTCGTGGTCACAGACGATTTTTATTTATTTATTTTTATTGCTTAGATGGGTGGACGAGCTCACAGCCCACCTGGTGTTAAGTGGTTACTGGAGCCCATAGACATCTACAATGTAAACGCGCCATTCACCTTGAGTTATAAGTTCTAAGGTCTCAGTATAGTTACAACGGCTGCCCCACCCTTCAAACCGAAACGCATTACTGCTTCACGACAGAAATAGGCAGGGTGGTGGTGCCTACCCGCGCGGACTCTCAAGAGGTCCTACCACCAGTAAACTGAACGTAACATTAAAAGTTATTGTAATCCAATATATTAATATTTATTATACTATACGTGATTTGAATTTGTATATTGGATACGCGTTAATATATACGCAATAATCACCGAATAAAGTGATTCGAAAGCAAACATATTTCATAAACATAACTTCGAATCCGCAAAACCATTAGTTTCCCCGAGCGGGTTCACAATCGGACCGGCAGTGTTACCGGAATAATCATAGGCCCGTCGCGATTACGGAAAACAATCGGTTAACTCCCCCGCTCAACATTTACACTCAAATAGTCTGTTTTACGAAAACCGGGGAAAGTTTCAATTCCGTCGATTGCTTTTCCCCCGTCGCGGAAAATTTGCTATCCTTGATTTACTTGCGAAATATTGATGTTTCTGTTACTGTATTTGTATCGAAGTAAACGATCTTTCCGTATTGTTCTGAGAACTTTGATTATGACCGATATAAGGATGTTCTTGGAAATGTTTGTTGTAATGAATTTTTTTTTGTTCTCCTACCTAAGCTGATAACCTTGAGAGGCTTTTTCAGCGTAACCTTAACTAGTAGGTGAGCTCGCGGGGCTTAAACCTGACGACGTTGCTAACACGAACCCTAGCAAGAGCCGTGCTTCGCAGAATCTACCAACGGATCGGAAACGCGACCCACTGAGAAGATCTGGCGAGAAACTCAGTGGGGTCTGAGGGTTAATTTGTTTCTCAACTGTTATTTTAATGTACGTGAATTATTGCTTATTACACGTGCCCCGCAGTTTCAACGGATTCAATTTATAATTTAGAAAGACAGAAGACTTTGCGTTTTCCCGGAATAAAGAGTTGTTTGTGTCACTCTCTACCGTGGACTTATAGACCCGTTGATACGTAAAATCACGGACCAACAAACACACATCATATTTGTTCTAGCAGTTATACCAGACATTACCCGGGTTGTGTGTAAAAAGGCTATATCTTTGTACAAAATGTTATCGAAATTTGATCACTCATTTTTACGTGATTGTGTAACAAACATTCAAACATGCAAGCTTTCACAATTATAATATTATTACAAATTATTTTATGGAACAATAACGTTCTGATAGTCATCTATTTATAAAATGGTTCACTTTGATAGTTAAAAGCCTTTGCAGGCTCTACGTGGGAGAGGAAATGCCACGACCGGATCTTATGGCAGGATTTGGGGGAGGCCTATGCGAAAGCAAAACAATCTTAGTCAATGTCAAAGGCAAAGAAAAAAAATGAATAGTATGTACCTAAATATGAATTAAGGTTGTTAATAAAGGCTTCTTTATCTTTATCACTTTAATAGTTACACAAAGAAAGCTTTAACACTTTATCTACTAAGTATTATACTTAAAAATACATTTTTTTATTGCCATTGTAGGCAGACGAGCGCACAGCCCACCTGATAGTGAGTGGTTACCGTCGCCCATGGACTTCAGCAATTCCAGGGGCAGAGCTAAGCCGCTGCCTACCGCTTAATACTCTCCACAAGCCTCGTTTGAAGAAGGACATGTCATAACGCTCGGGAAACACTATCTATCCGTTGCTTAGTTTTTACGTGTGAAAAGAATAAACTGACTTACATTTTTAAATATTAGTATGACAATTTTTTATATCGAGACTTCACTAAATTGTATTCGTTCGAATCGTATTACTCATTCTTTTCACGTTTATATGTGATATTGGTATGTATTTGAGTATCTTATAATTTTGGATTTGTAATTCAACTTGACCAGCCTACAAGAGATTTAGGCGTATGTTGTTTTATTGATAGCCTTCTCGATTATTCCAACAGGAACTCGTGACTGCTTTGGGGTAGAAATAGGCAGAATGGCGGTAAGTATCTATTTGTGCAGATTTACAATGTCTGCTTTCTACCGGTTCCAATAGTGTTACTTCCATGTCCAATCTTGGGTCTTTGTCAGGTTCAGGCCACTCTCCTGACTGAGAGGCACACGGTATAGTACGCGATTACATTTTAATATGGTATTTTGGAAAATATTGTCCAATTACTTAATTCTTATATGAAATCAATGCAAATGTCTCAAAGTAAACGTCTGATGTACATTAATTTTCGTATTCTGTGATGAAACTAGTAAGCAAATTTCAAAATGAAACTAGATTTCACGAGTCTTTTTAATAAGAAATCACTCAATACTGATAAGTAGTCGATCTTTTAGCTGTCACGTAAAATATAGTACATATAAACTTGGTATTAATTAGCACGCAGATCATGTTTTTACATAATTCCGTGACATTCCCGTGTTGTTATGTAAATAATAATAACAAGTGACTTTGCTTACGAGAATTTTGGTGAACCATTACTACGTTTGAAATTATACATTACACTATTAAAGTTATTGTTGAAAACATGTTTTTTATGTAATATATTGTATAGCATAGCATATAGAAGCTATCGAAATGTGTACTCTTTATTATTTGACCACAGTAATTGCTTAAATATAAGGTATATAAATCTACGTTATTTCTTAATTAGTTGAACCTTATAACATTCTTGATTGCATAGTAAAAACAAACACGAAACGTGAGCACAAAACGAGGCTAATAAATAAAGTGAATCTGATGAATTAATGCAACATTATGTGACAGTTGAAATTGTAACGGATGAAACCATAAGCTGGCGTGTAGCGATGTTATGCACAGAGTTGAAACATTCATGATGATTACACCCATAAATTTTCCAGTTACCTACGCGTAAATGCTTGATTTATAGAGCCGGTATCGAGGTAATACGCTTCTGTATTTTGCGTCCCCATGAAAATAAATTTATTCGACATGATACTTGATTGCGAGTGATTCGCATCATACATATGCATGGTTATTCGTAAACCCCCGATGTGCTTTAGACGCGAACGTCGCGTCGTACTTTGCCAGATTATTTGCGCAAAAGAAATAATTCACATGCAGTAAATTAATTAGTTAAGATTGCTCACTAAACTAAGCTAAAACTAAAGCTTTCACGTTGTCGTGGCCTAAAGGAAAAGAGGTCCGGTGCATTCGTGTTGACGATGCACCGGTGTTCGGATCCCGCAGACGGGTACCAATTTTTCTAATGCCATACGTACTTAACAAATGTTCACGATTGACTTCCACGGTGAAGAAATAACATCGTGTAATAAAAATCAAACCCGCAAAATTATAATATGCGTAATTACTGGTGGTAAGACCTCTTGTGAGTCCGCACGGATAGGTACCACCACCATGCCTATTTCTGCCGTGAAGCAGTAATGCGTTTCGGTTTGAAGGGTGGGGCAGCCGTTGTAACTATACTGAGACCTTAGAACTCATATCTCAAGATGGGTGGCGGCATTTACGTTGTAGATGTCTATGGGCTTCGGTAACCACTTAACACCAGGTGGGCTGTGAGCTCGTCCGCCCATCTATGCAATAAAAAAAACTGAGGTTTTTATGAGTATGGATGAACAGAAGTCGACGGACATATGGTAGACATATTGCTAAGTCGTTACCAGAGCTAATGGCAACAAAATAAATCATGCCAATATTACCACAGGCAATATTACCATATTACCAGGCTACATTTTAAAAATATCAGAACCGAACCCATGATTACATTTTGACGGAAACAGACTTGAAGGGCGGTACAGCTTTTTTGACTAATGATTGTAAGTAATTAGGAGTGGGTACATGCGAATTAATTATTTAAAGATTTTCGGTCCCACCAAAAAAGTATTATTTATGTCCGAAAGATTGAACAGAAGTTTATGAGTTAATGTTCTATTAAGTACGCTGTTATAAGATAGAGGAAATTTTATGAAGAATCCAACGTGAGAACTACATAATATATCTATTGGTAACAATTTATACTTCAGCTAACCAGTTTCTTTAAAATATGCTCTTTCGTATCCTTTGCTTATTTTAATATAGATTCTTTCGGAGTTGACATTAATGGATTTCTTAACAAAATTTTAATAAACTACTCGTTCATTAGATATTGCATGTTGGTTGGATTTTTTCTTCTCGTAATCTATATAACTAGTGAGGTAATTATTTATTAGCAACTGGTTCTATCGGAACTAGTACAACCTATTTTATTTCTCACGTATTCCAAACATTTCAATACAGACAGTTTAAAATGAGTAATAATCTAATAATTATTTAATTACGATAATTTTCGTAACTTGATCTCACCTTATGTATAGGAGTTCCCCAGAAGTCGTTCAGGAAAATATTAGAAATGGGTGTCTGCGGTCTCAGGTCTCTGTTCTCTTTTATGGCACTAATATCATCAAAGACGAATCCGCAGTATAAGCAGTTATGGTAAACAAGCACGCAGGCTAATATGATGACGGCACCGAGGCCGCGTCGTGGAGGATCTGGCATATCTTCAGGTACTTGATTTTGACCTGTCAAGCGGCGTCTACTTCGACCAGTCCTGGTTCTGACCGCTGATACCACCCCACCAAACCTACAGACTCCACTTACGCGGTCCATTTTGGCTCACACCATCTTTATTTTTAAACCAGAGCCAACCCCCTCAAGTTTCTAATCACAGAAATGAATGAAAAGGCAGTCAGTCTCAAGCGACTTGAAATGTTTTAGAAGCTAGCGAAACACAATCGTGAACGGAACCGGGTCTATAAATTTCGCTACACAAAATCAGGTGGTTTTTAACGTTATTACTCGAATATACACCAACGAACACTTTAAATATAACTTTGTCATTTATGGTTAGGTTATTACAGAGCACATGTCACTGTTTTTTTCTCGATATCATTCCATTTGACATTTATGAAAGAATAGTTTTACACGAATACGGACACACCCGCTCGGTGGGCAGATCGCCGACGACTGCCGATGTTCGACGAGCGAATGCCGCGTCGTGTCACGTGACCAGTCGTTTTACTGCGGGTCGTTTCGGGATAGCGCATGCGCGCAACAGCGATGGTTGCCGGTTGCCGGTCAGTGGCGGCAAAATATTTTGTCACACTTCCTTTTAGAATTAATACGGTACCTCTAGATTTCTTTTCTGTGGCAAATTTAGAGAAGTTTACTTCGTAACAAATTCATTTACAATTGTTATTTGCTCTCAAGATGACGTGTAAATAATGAGCGGTGCAAAAATTATAACAACACAATACTTACTAATCTTATTACTTAATCCCATAAAAATTATATTACCCAGCGGCAAAACTACGGCATACTGCGTAAATGTGATTGAATTGTCTTATATGTAATGACAGCTACTGGAGCAAAGGGGTGAGCTAAGTACATGTCGATGACGACATTTGGCCCAGACAGAGTTCACTGGAATTTCGATACTTTGCTCTTTCGAGTTTCGAATATCGAGTGACAAAGACAAGTTGTACTGGATTGGTACATCCCTAGAGTCTCCGTGTTATTCAGATTCACTTCCATCGGTACCTACAACGCGAATGATGAACTTCGATAAAAGGTTTTCTATGTATTGAGAATTATTTTTTGCTTCCGTAAAACGTATTCTGTCAGTTTTCTGGTTTTTGTAAAGAGAAAAAAAGTTATTTATTATTTTACAAATCTTTTAAATGTTAAATGTTTGTTTAGCACAGACGGGTAAAAGACCTTACGGTCCACCTGGTGTTAAGCGATCACCGTTGTAATAGCAATGTGAGATTTTACCTATTGGCTAAGAATGTCTCTATTTACTAATTACTAGTCTAGTACATTAAATTGAGATTTAGCCTCGCGCTTCGATTATAAAGTACTTATATGTGTCTGTGTATGTATTTGTAATATAAACAGAGACAGGCTTTATGAGTTATTAAAACACGTTCAGTCAGCTCAGCCGAGTCACGTCAAATCGTTTACCATTTACTAAACGATGTATAGGTAGTATAGTTTTTTTTTAACTTTATTCAGAAATGACAAAACAAACTAATAGTAGAAAATGATATTTTCCTCATAAGCATTATTTAGATTTTTTATCTCTACTACTATCTTTACGCTAATAAATACATATTTATGCAATAGAGTAAACGAATCCATGATCTGCCGGACCTATTACTGAATAGATAAAACAAAATGACGCCATATTTGCCGGTCACTTTGAGAGCTAGGGTCAAATTCTTGAATCAACTGTGCTATGACTCTTTAAGTCGGATCACATGATGGTGGTAATCACTTGTTGTTGTAATTGTAGTAATTGAGCGTGGACTGTATATATTTATTTTATCCTTATATGACAAATTAAATACTTAATTAAAGAGAAATGTAAAATTGATGCGTTGCTCTTGGCGGCATGATTTGAAAGAGAAAAGTGTCATGGCGGACGTCGCTCGCTGACATTTTGACGTTCAGAAACTGAACCCCGTGTAAACATGTAAGTCCCTCTGACAATAGGAAAGGTGAGTTTACAAGTAGAAACGCTGCCTGTTTCCCTTCGTAACTGCTGACGACGTCCACGGGCTGAGATGCGGTGGTGCTGTTCTAGATAACTATGGCACTACACAGCAAAATTTACTAATATAACTAACAATTTCTTGTGCGTAGCTACGTCATGACTTTACCTCATGATTTCACCTCATCGCACATTATTTATTAACTAATTAATAAAGGGTTTGTCTGGCTAGGTGAATTGGCATTTCAAAATACGTAAAGCAAATTTATTTTTTATTGAAATAGCTTCATAAACATTCGGGAAGTGCTATAATTTAGAGCCTACGATATTCCCCTATTCGAATCGAATCGAAAATAAAAGTTAAACACAGAACTCGCACCAGAAGATTAGAGAAAAACGCAATGCCCACGAATTAATATTTTAGCTTTCAATACATTTTACAGATCTCAGACGTAACAATGTAGGCACTCAGTCACTCACATAACTGAATAGCTTCCGAACAAAGGGCAATTTTCCGACTTTTTCACTTCGAACGATTTTTTTCAATTACTATAACGATTCACGGTGCTCTTTAGGCCTTTTGTGGCATTATAACAGTTAACTTGAGGAGTTCCATTCACTCGTATTAATTATTTTCCTTGAGAATTCCTCTCGTCGAAGGCTCGCGTAGCATTTACGGAACGTATTATTGAAGTCTATAGACGTAACAATACTGGAGGTCTTAGCACAGGCGGCGTGATTAAATGTACAGAGGGCACTCCAATTTATTTACAGTTAAAATGGAAATTGAATCTGTTGGAATGAAAAAGTTTAAATTAAACATCTGTGCGGAGTTTTGTGATCGCCATTTGATGAAAATTCGTAAATCGTTTTTAATTTGTTTCGTATTTCATATTTTTATGTTGTTCATAGATGATGGTGGATAGATATTGCAAGATCTCGAGCAAATCGAATGGATTATCTATCATTATGTAGGTTAGTTGAAGGGGAAGCCGAATTAAAAAGTCGTCGTGGCCTAACGGATAAGACGTCCGGTGCATTCGTGTTGAAGCGATGCACCGGTGTTCGAATCCCGCAGGCGGGTACCAATTTTTCTAATGAAATACGTACTCAACAAATGTTCACGATTGACTTCCACGGTGAAGGAATAACATCGTGTAATAAAAATGAAACCCGNAAGCGATGCACCGGTGTTCGAATCCCGCAGGCGGGTACCAATTTTTCTAATGAAATACGTACTCAACAAATGTTCACGATTGACTTCCACGGTGAAGGAATAACATCGTGTAATAAAAATGAAACCCGCAAAATTATAATTTGCGTAATTACTGGTGGTAGGACCTCTTGTGAGTCCGCACGGGTAGGTACCACCGCCCCACCTATTTCTGCCGTGAAGCAGTTATGCGTTTCGGTTTGAAGGGTCGGGCAGCCGTTGTGACTATACTGAGACCTTAGAACTATATCTCAAGGTGTGTGGCGCATTTACGTTGTAGATGTCTATGGGCTCCGGTAGCCACTTAACATCAGATGGGCTGTGAGCTCGTCCACAAATCTAAGCAATAAAAAAAAAAAAAAAAAATTTAAAGTATTATGAGGAAAGCTGAGTTTGTTTATTTATGACGATCTAATAAGTTCAAATTATCAAAGGATACGGGTATCCGTCTTTATTGGCGTTAGAATAATATCTTCACATAGTCCCTAGTTTTTTACTGAACTCGACGCTCACTGCACCGTTGTGTTAAGCCATAAGAGAGTCATTATTACTGGTGGTAGGACGTCTTGTGAGTTTGCACAGATATATACCACCACGCTGCCTATTTCTGCCGTGAAGCAGTAATGCGTTTCGGTTCGAAGGGTGGGGCAGCCGTTGTACTGTTTCAACTGAGGCCTTAGAAATCTTGTCTCTACATGAGTGGCGGCATTAACGTTGTAGATGTCTATGGGCATCGGTAACCACTTAATACCAGGTGGGCCGTGAGCTGGTCCACCCAATCTTAGCCATAAAAAAAGCCGACAAACCGTGATCACGCCGCGAATGACGCCACCGTTCCTAGCTGACCCTTAATTCCAAAAAGATCTGTGTTAATTAGGGCTGTAAGACATTGTGCAACTATCGGCAATTATTATGGGCTTATTAATACACTGCCTACTTCTACCATGAAGCAACCGAGTATTTTGATTTGAAGGATACGACAGCCATTACACAAATGCAATATAAACTTCTATACCATGTGTATTGAGACAGGTAGCAGCATATATTATGATTTGGCGGTCTGTGAGCTGTATTGGCCAAGATGAGCTTATGATTCATGCGCTCGTTTGCTCTCGACCGCGTTCTGATTTACAGCCGAATATCTGATATATTATTTTGTCTTTTTGAAAATGTTCCCTGGTATCTATACCAAGCTACGTATCTGATTTTTCCAAATTGGTCGTTATTTCATCGCGTGAATGTATCGCGTTTTGAAATATTAGGTCTTTATAAGCACAGTCTAGTTTACAATTTTTTTTTAAATAAATAACTTTTGGCTTTAATGAAACCCAAATTATCTAAAAGTTAGATATCTCTCTCAACTAACACTATAGCTGATTTACTACTTAACATTTTATTAGTACAATTCTAGTTATTTCAAACAAGCTCAAGCTAGTAAAAACAAATGCGGCACTCTAACTCGTTCACTGGTTTTAAGTCCGTAAATATTTTGTTTTAATACAAAGTTTTAAAGTGTGGTCTGTGTACTTTTCGAATAAGCCCGTGTGGGACGAAAACATTGTGTAACATACCAATCTCTTGGTCCTAAACAAACCTACGTGCTTAATTTGAATAGTGAAGGAGCGATCACGAAAGAATCACAAGTATCATTGGTATACATTATTTTTAGTTGGCTGAAATATTTTTGATACAAATAAGGTACGATAACAGATAACGTTATCCACGCGTCAACTGAAACTTGCATTTTCATAAAAGTCGACCGATAAATGCGACCTTTCAATTAATATTAGGTCTTCTTCACCTACGAAATTTCCTTGTCTGTATTAATGAAAAAGATACTCGTGCGATTGTAGTGAAAACAAAACACTAATCAGTAAACAAATAACTGGATTTGAAAATTTAATTCCATATTTTTTAAATAAAATCATTTAAATTTAGAATTTATTGCCAGTCATAAATAACTCATGTTTCAAATGGCCAGTATTGTAAAACGGCAACTTCATAGGTAAAGTCGCATTAAAATACTAAAATCTAATAAGGATTTTTTATTTATTTAGTTGCACTTTAATTCTGATAGTTCTGATATCACAATGAGTACAGAATAATACAGCGAACATACACATAATTATTCATACGCACGTACGTATTGAAGGCAAGCGAATTTACGCCACATTCGAACTAGTCTGTCTAATCGAATCTGCTGTCTAGTGTCAATAGATCTTTTTATTAATTGTACCTGTATTGTACTGTAGGCAACGGCCGTCTGGTG